TGAGTTACCAGCTGGTCTAAATTATATCTATATCTATATCTATATCTATATCTATATCTATATCTATATCTATATCTTCATGTCAAGCCAAGATAAACAAAAACTTTTGTGATATATTTGATAACTAAACTGGACATTTCATCCTTTTATGTTATACTGATATATATGTGTGTATATATATATTATTCACTGTAAAAGTATAACTGTTGCCTGTTAACACTCTACAGAGATTGAACCACTGAAATGTCCATAGTTGATTAAAATAAATAACAATTCTCTGGTTATACTTTGCATTTAAGGTGCTTAAGTCTGGTCTCACCTAACCGGATCTGGTATGCTATGTTACATTTAAAGGTAGACTCTTTTGGGTTCCCTTGACATCTACTTCCCAGGAATTATTTGCCTTTATGGGAGGATCCAAAAGGAGGGGACAGAAGTGCCAATGATGTGGAGATGACATCCCAAGGATTCAAAATTCACTTTACTCTTACTGAAAAAGTTTTATCTAGAAATCTGGTGGCCTTTGGTAATAATGATCCTCTTACAGTATATACATGATTTGTTGTTAGCTAGAAGAGCCCAGGACCAAAAAGAGTTATGAGAGTACCTAGGAATGTGGATTTTTGTTGTTTTTAGGTATCAAGTTTTGTCTCTGTTGCTAAATCCTTATATAAAACCCTGAAGAGAAGTAATAGCCTCCCACTTAGATTAAAATTCAGAATAAAAAAAACATTAAAAGATTAAACAAGATACTCTTAAGGGCTCCAACTCTAGTCCTACCCGACATCACTGAGCCCTTTCAGCTGTTTGTTCATAAAAAAAAAAAGGAGTTACAAGGAGTGTCTAAACTCAGACCTTAGGGCCATGGAAACATGCAGTGGTTTACCTGTCCAAAGACTGAACTATGTGGCTGCTGGGTGGCCATCAGGCTTACAAGCCACTACAGCAGTTGCTATATTAATAAAACAGGCTGACAAATTAACTCTGGGACAGAAGTTGAACATGTTCATGCCACATGTGATGGAGACACTGCTGTAGGGTGCTGGTAAAAGGTGACTCTCCGACACAAGGCTGATCCAGTACCAGAAAGCCCTCCTTAAAGGCTCACATCTAACTCTTGAGATTATACAGGCCATTAATCCTGAATCCCTCCTTCCAATGTTGTTAGAACCCCCAGAACCAAATTGTGTCTCCCAACAGGGAACCTTCCCTTTTGAGGATGTCGAAGTGGACTTCACTGAGATCAAGTTGACTAATCATCTCCTGGTATGGGCTCCTCATTATAGTAAGCTCAGACAATGAGCCTGCTTTTGTGGATAGAGTAGTTCAGAGCCTTTCTCACGTTTTGGGCCTAAAATGAAGGCTAAATACTGCCTACTGACCCCAAATGCTTGGGCCAAGTATAGCAGCAAAACCACACCCTGAGGAACACGCTGTCCAAACTGTGCCAGGAGACAGGTAAAAACTTCTGGGTGTCTCCACTTCTGTTGGGTGTCTCCACTTCTGTTGGCCCTGCTGTTGTAATGCTACACCACAGACTGTGATGGGCTCACTCCTTTTACAATCCTATTTGGAAAACTGCCACCCATGGTGCCAGTATTGGAAAAAATATAAAAGATTGAGAAACAAGGGATCACTCCCTTTAAATCCCTAAGTTGGGAAAAAAAAAATCCTGACATCCATTTCTAATCAAGAACCTGTTAAGTCCTTACAGGCTCTACAGTCTACTCTACAGACTACATACTCCCTCTTTTACCATTATCACCCTCAACCCAAAAGACCCAACACCTCATTGGCATCTAAGCCTGGATCCTTGGTATGGATCAAGAAGTGAGACCTTCCTGCTTTACCTTGGTCTTAACCATCCAGTAGAAAAGTATGAAGATGAAATATAGGAAGGAAAGCCATGCTGTTATGTTGAGCTGTGGGGACTCAGGTCAACAATTTCTGACATTGCCAGTTAAACAGAAGACTCAATGCTATTATGGGCTACTGGACCCTTTTAAAATATTTTGCTGACTAAGAAGAATATATGCAGTGTATTATTTGTTGAAACTGTCCTTCCAATTTGATGTGAAACTGTCTCATTGCTATCTCTTTGTCAATAAAACTTTGAAAAAAAATATTTTGCTGAGTTTACACACCTATAATATTCAAATAACGGAACTTAACAAAAAAAGGGTATACAGAGGAATGTCCATTTTGTATCTGTGTATTCAAAGTGGTTAGGATAGATATATAGCTACATTCTCTTAATGAATAGAATGATTTGTTCTAGCGGTGTTGGTAAATAGGATCTTAAGTCCACATCTTGTACAGCAATTAACCACTAAGAAGAATGTATGCAGTGTGTTAGTTATTGAAACTGTCCTAGCGATTTGATTTGAAACTGTCTCATTGCTACCTGTTTATCAATAAAATTATAAAAAAAAAAAGAAGTGAGACCTGTCAACTCTTGGGCCCCAGTGGACTGGACCATACCCTGTTGTCCTGAGCACTCCCATCGCGGTCCAGGCAACAAAAATCATTGGATTCACTGCTCCCACATTAAGCCAGCCTCAACAGACCAACAGATAAGTGGACTTTACAAAAGACTGCTGACCTCCTCAAGGTCAAACGGACCAAACGTGGCCCTATTTGGTTCTTGTTAGGACTAACAGAGGCTCAACACTCTCCCACCACTTATATGTGACTAGCTACTCAGAACCCTGAGTTCTATGTCTCCCTACTCGACCTTTTTGCATGTAAAAATAATGAAATAAAATGGACACTTCTTTCAGTACAAACAGCTATCATACTTATGGGGATGCCACTGAAGACGGAGGATTCTTCTACTAGAGCTGGAGATGTAAAACTATCGCTCCTTGGACACATTAAAAAAATCCCTTTTTGAGTGTTGCTGGGGTCCCTCTCACCAACCTATCATATGATAAACTAAATAAATCAAGGATTTGAATCATGTACAAAAAACAGTGGGGAATGTAATGGGTTAATGGAAAGAGTTAATGTAAAACTAAATGTAAAAAAATTACTATGTTCAACTTTCTGTGATCCTGCTTCCTTGTAAGACTGCAAGGAGGCTCGGTGTGCCACTCGTAAATCATCAGTGGACTGAAACTTCTAGGAAACAATGCTCCCAGAAAAAATGTGTGCTGAGTCTGGTCACACTGTCCCTAAAGGTCCTATTCTATGTTAAATGACAAATTTGTTTGCTAAACAGGATGCAGTTTCTACCTTTAAAGCCTCTATACTTCTAAGTCTCCTGGCTGTTTGTCCTCTGCTCTGTGAGTATGGTTCAGCAGTCCTGGGTCTGGTAACAAAAGGCTCATACTTAAATTTTAATTTGGACTCAAGTCTGGTTTCTATGTTGAAAACCCATAACAAAGAGGACTTGCATCTCCCAGAGAAAGAGAGGGAGGAATGAGATGCCATGGCTCGTGCCACATTAGATTTTATTTTTATTAGTTTTTGTATGTTTGCTTGTTTTGCAGATTACTAGCTCTGAGCTCTAATTCTTCCACTTGCAGAGGATGGAAAATATAAGTAGGTGGTCCTCTGTCCTAATTATCTTTCATAAGCCCCTTGAGATTTGACTTGCATGGGCACAGAGCAGCCCAATGCTCTGTCCCCATATTTTTGAAACAAGGGAGAAAGGGACCTGTGTGACTGGGATGTACAGTGAGCACAATGCCACGAAGGGCCCAAGGCGGCCTCAGGCATAGTGGAAGGAGCTGCTTAGCTATTACAAAATGACTTTCCTGTATGGCTCAGGCAGATGAAAAGAAATAGAAATCTGCATGTTTCAGTCTTAAACAGCAGTGTACAAATACATGTGCACATACACCTGTAGTTGTGTGAGAAAATCCAGAAGTACTTCCAGGTTTCTCTCTGACTCTAGACTCCCAGAGAGGAGATCCAGACAGGCCTGGCTGGGAGAAGATTCTGCCCTTATTTCTGAACCATGGCCTATGGCTCAGTGGTCTCTCATTTTATCTCCACTTTATTCCTTAATTCCTCAAGCTTGTATGTACAAGGTAAGATATGGAAATCCCAGATTTATTGGCCTCCATGGAAGCTATTGACATACCTCTTTCTCTTAAGTTTGAGGACTGACTTTATCTTTGGGTTGGCATTCTTTAGAAACATTGCTATATAAGGGGTTTTCAAGTACTGAACAAATCCTCCCAGTTATGGTTTGTGAGTAGTTGTTCCCCCAAAGCCTCATGCAGTCATAAGGCAGGCTTCTAGACTTTGTGATTAAGGCATGAACCAGTGCTGGGATTATGGGTGTGAGTGCTGCTGGGATTATGAGTGTGAGGGCTACACCCAGCCTGGGAGGACAGCCTGATTTCAACATAAGGGAGTGTTGACTTGCTCAGCTGCTGTCCTTGTTACTGATGCTCCTTCCTTTTGCTCTTGCTCTTTTCTATTTTCACCTCTTTAAAATGCTACCCTGTGCCTTGTGCCACTCAGCCCTGAAACCAGCTGAGTCTGAACTGGACCCTCCACTAACTGTGAGCTGAATAAACCTTTCCTTTCTTCTTAGGTCTCGGGTATGTTGTCTGATCAAAGAGAGAAAAGTCACTGAGACACTCCCCATTCAGACCCATGATCACGTAAGAACGACCCAGGAGTGCCTGACTGGAGTACAGAAGCTTCTCAGGTTTCAGTTCGTATCTGGTGGACATTTGCCACCACAGACTTAGCCTGTTCGATTTCACTGGTCTTATTCCTTCCCTTACAGAATTCTGCAAATGCCTAGCATAAAGTAGATTGTCTCAGGGGCATTAGAGAGAGTTCTAGAAGTAACTGTTCTTGGAGAAAGATCCATCGTTATAGAATTTTGTTGTACCAGAACAGATTTTAGGACATGTTTTGGGGAGAAGTACGACAGAACACAGGAAGCTTGTAAGTGGTTTATTTTAAATCTGGCCAGATTCTCCAGCCATGCTGCCTTACAGGAGATGACATGGGCGTTGTGAGACACACAAGGGCTTCCATTAATTTATGACCAGGGTATTTTCAGAATAATACGTATTTACTCCAATCGGTACCACTGCTAGATCGTCAGGACAGATATTCAGCTCCTCAATAATGTCAACCACAGCTCTAATTTCTACAGTGTCTGAAAGAAAGGAGTGGAAAGATCCTTCATGTCCCCTGTTGTTTCCTAGCATCATGACCTGCCCAGTGGGCCTCAGTGCTTCCAAATCCCTTGAAGGTCAATCACCTCTCTTAGTTTTTCTCGTGCAGTGCCTCCTCTCTGCTGCCTGGACATTATTCTCTCCACTCCCATGTTGCACTTCCACACTTAACTCAACCCTTTCCTGTCGCACTTCTGTTTCTGCATTTCCCTCCCTCACTGAAGGCCCCCTCTTTAGATCATGCCTATACTTACCCTCGCTCTGAAAGTCCCAGTAGAAGTTTTTTGGGTAATCTTCACAGAGGCAACTGGTGTATTTATAGTTGAAGGCACCATCAATTGGCTTGCTGCTTTGGAGGTAAGTTTTAATCTGGTGTGGAAGGAGGACTCAGCATTAGTCT